TTTGACTTTATTTATTTTCTGCTGTGTTTTACTTGCATCTATTTGAAAAACTGAGTGTAAACACAAAAAATATTTTATTATATGAGCTGGAATGTGCAGAAAATAGGTTTAAATGTTCAACAAATTTCTTCCAGTCAGAGAATGTTGCATATAATTAAATGTTTGCTTGATGCATAAAGTTAAAAGATTAAAACTAATAAAACAAGTTTTAAAAAGAGACATTTTCATTTGATCACATTTTGTATGATGGATTATGCAGAAAAAGTAGAATTGGGCCAAAAGATCTATTGTTTTATTACCTGTTCAGGGTTTTAAAAAGTAACTAAGTAACTAAGTAATTAATTACTTTTGAAAATAAGTAATTAGTAATGTAACGAGATTAGAAGTAATCAGTAATTAGTTACTGATTAGTTACTGATTTCTTTTTTCAAGTAACTTGACCAACACTGCTTGGGACCCCTGGCAGAGTATTTTAAACCTGTTGTTTCTAACCTGGGTTTTAAAGATGGACAGTGATTTTAAATTGGACACTCAAATTAGGGCTACTGTCAAGTCCAGTTTTTATCATTCAACGCGTTTTTACCTGGAGGTACCCAGGTCCAAGAGAAAGCTCAGAGGGGATAGGGCCTTCTCTATTGCTGCTCCTAATCTGTGGAACAATCTTCCCCAGCACATTAGAGAGGCCCCTCACTGTCCACTTTTAAAACACGTCTTAAAACCCATTTTTACTCTTTGGCTTATGACAAAGTCTGACCCTGATTTTATTGTTTTAATCTAATTATCATTTTATACTATTTTATTATTGTTTTTGCTATTTGTGCTAATTTTATTATTTTAAATGTCATTTTATTTATCCTTTTTTTAATCTTTATTTTATTTTATTTTTACTTTACTTTTAAACTTATTTAATGTATCATTTCTGGGATGTCAACTGTACAGCACTTTGTGTTCAGCTGGGACTTATTCTAAAAGCGCTATATAAATAAATTACTTGCTTGCTCGCTATGACATCTTGAAGTTAAGATGGGGCCTGATTATTTAAGACCTTGTATGTGAGGAGCAGGATTTTGAATTCTGGATTTAACAGGAAGCCAATGAAGGGAAGCCAAAACAGGAGAAATCTGCTCTCTCTTTCTAGTCCCTGTCAGGACTCTTGCTGCAGCATTTTGGATCAGCTGAGGGCTTTTCAGGGAGTTTTTAGGACTTCCTGATAATAATGAATTACAGTCGTCCAGCCTGGAAGTAATAAATGCATGAACTAGTTTTTCAGCGTCACTCTAAGACAGGATATTTCTAACTTTAGAGATGTTGCACAAATGGAAGAAAGCAGTCTTACATATTTGTTTAATATGTGCATTGAAGGACATGTCCTGGTCAAAAATGACTCCAAGGTTCCTCACAGTGTTACTGGAGGCCAAGGTAATGCCATCCAGAGTAAGAATCTGCTTAGATACCATATTTCTAAGCTTTTCAGGGCCGAGTACAATAACCTCAGTTTGATCTGAATTAAGAAGCAGAAAGTTAGCGGCCATCCAGGTCTTTATGTCTTTAAGACATTCCTGCAGTTTAACTCATTGGTGTGTGTTATCTGGCTTCATTGACAGATAGAGCTGGGTGTCATCTGCATAGCAGTGAAAATGTATGCTATGTCTTCTAATGATGCTGCCTAAGGGAAGCATGTATAATGTAAACAGAATTGGTCCTAGCACTGAACCCTGTGGAACTCCATAATTAACCTCAGTGTGTGAAGAGGACTCTCCATTTACATGCACAAACTGGAGTCTATTAGATAGATATGATACAAACCACTGCAGCACAGTACCTGTAATACCTACAGCATGTTCTAATCGCTCTAATAGGATATTATGGTCGACAGTATCGAACGCTGTACTGAGGTCTAGCAGGACAAGCACAGAGATGAGTCCACTGTCAGAGGCCATAAGAAGATCATTTGTAACCTTCACTAAAGCTGTTTCTGTGCTGTGATGAGCTCTGAAACCTGACTGAAACTCTTCAAATA